TGGGCAAGTGAACATTGACTTCAGTGAGATGCAGATTCCCGGGTTTGGTCCACTCACGCAGTTTTTCCAGAGTCAGTTGTTCCTCTCTTTCCTTCAGACCTGTGGACTCATCCTCGACGTCATCCGGCAATAGAATAACCATGCTGAGCTCCTTGTCCTGATAAGGCAGTTCCAACACACAACACTTAAGGTCCTCGATGTAGCCATATGGAAATTTCTCCTTCTGATGCATCATTTTCACTGTTTTTGTGTCTTTCTTATTCAACCTGAAAGGTGCATTGGTCATGGCCTTTTAGCTGAATTTCTTCTGCATCATTCCTTTGAAACAGATGGCATTAACTAGCACAAGTGTAGTCATATTATCAAACCATACCTACAGCCAACAATTCTGGAATTTTCCCTTCTGTCTGCCTAAATGAGTTTGACTCACTCATTTATCACCTTTCTTGCACCTTCAGAGACATGCTGAAAATCCACATGGGCCAATTCAACACCATGCATTTCCTGAGTCGTAGCTAAGAATTCAGGGAGGAAATTACATGTTTTCTCTCCGTATAACTTATCAGCAAGTTTCAGAATATAGGGAGCTCCATATTGATTGTTGATAGCAGCATTCAGACTCTGAAATCTTGAATGAATATCCTCAGCTGCATCGAAATAGAGTCTTGGATATCTGTGCTGCAGTAGTGCCTCTGGTCCCCAGAAAGATCATGGCCAGAGCTGATGAAATGCCTGTGGGAGAGAGGAAGATGTTTCCAGTGCGATTGTCCTTGTTCAGGGTGTGGAAAAGGTCCCCCATAAACCCTATGTTTGCCATGCTCAGCTGCTCCACGGGGAAGGCCCTGCTCGCTGCCTGGGCAGGGCCTCAGGACCCAGGAAAGGGGTAAGCACCTGCAGGGTCTTTGTATAGTTACAGAAATGATCAACATTTTCTATAAGTTTTGATTCTTTTTCAACTCTGCCTCCTCATCCTTTTCGTTCATTATGACTTCTAATCATATTTTTTAAACTTTTTCATCACTTTAAATGTATCAATTTTATGGTCTTTTCCAGATTATTTTAATATCAAAATCTGGGGTCATACTACCCCTCTTGTCTCATTTGTCTGCTGACTCTCACTTAAGAAGATAATTTCCTCGTTTCATTTCTCAGTTTTTAGAGGTTTATTGTCAGTTTTCAAAAAGTATTAAATTCACTGCCACCCACCTCACCCCATGGAGTCCTGTTTGCCTAGAGTATAGAATTCTTTCCTGCCAAACATTATTAATTTTCTTTCTACAAGTTACCTCAAGGTAGTTATTGGTCCAGAATCAGATTTTTTTTTTCCTATTACTTTTAGGGTTTTAAATTCCTGCCACACACAGTGTAAATTTGGGTACTAGAACTGCACATGATATGAGCTTGGAGCTTTAATTTCTCATGCTAAGTGTGTTTTTCTTTTTATACCCACATCCTTAAGCAAAGATAAATTCTCTTCTTTTCATGGACCAGTAGGAGGAGTCTGTTGATTATCTATATTCCACATATGGGCTGACCCTTCCCAGGTGAGGGTCAAATTGGGTCTCAATTACTGTCTACATCTCTTGGCTCCACATGGCATTATAATCTCAGCCAGTGACCAAACGGTTCTGTGTGAGTCCTCTCTCTCTCACAAACGCCCTGTTTGAACACGACTTCCTTCTTGCCTCTCTCTGGAAGGTTCTAGTTCAGATCCAGCTGCATTCACCTAGTCATACTGCTGAAACCATAGGAGCCAGAGTGATCTTTGAAAATGTTAATGACAACAAGCATTCCGTTATTTAAAATCATTAAAGAGTTTCGCATTGCACTTGGGATAATATGTAACATTTCTACTGGTCTATAGAATCTTTCTTAATCAGGTCATACCTGTTTCTCCAACATTATCTCATGTGACTCTTCCTCTGCTTTACTGACTGTGCTCTAAGCATGTTGGCTTGTTTTCTTGGACACTTCAAGTTCCCTTTTCTGAAATGGTTTTTCCACAGCATCGCTCCCCCTGCCATGGTCCCTGGCCACCACATTCTCTGTCACATCGCCATGTTTACTTCCTTGACCATATTTGACATAATCTGTAATTATCTCGTTATTTATACTCCATGGAGAAAGCTACTTTGTCTTGGTAATCACTCTATCCACAGCATCGAGCACAGTGCCTGATACACAGTGTGTAGTGAATAAATACACATACAGGTTCAATAAATGAAGATGGAAGTCATTTAAAAATCTTCCAGTTCAGCTTTCTGCTTTTATAAAATGTAAAATGAACTGGTAAAGTAGCTGAGAAAGGTTTGAGAACTTGGCCCAAATCACAAATGTTTAATGAGATACCTAAAACAAGTACTCAGGTCTCCTGACTCTGCTGACCCATGCTCTTTCTAGCGACAGACACCTCCACTGGTTATGGAAGATCTGTATTAGTAATTTGGGAAAAATATGGATAGGCTATAGAATGATCTGTGACCTCCCTCACACTTAAATATTGAATTTTGTGGAATATACACATATATTACTATTTCTAGGATGAAAGACTATAGCTTTTGTCCAATTTTCAAAAGGGTCAAAGGATCAAAAGAAAAAAAAAGACCTTAAAAACTGCTGGCCCACCTATTGTTTACAAACTGTAAGTTGCCTGCCTGCTTTTTCTTGTCTTCCTATCAGTTCTTCTATTAATGGGTTGAACATCATTATGAATTAAGTATCCACTATATTGCCGAAAGATCTAGTGTTATGACTTGTATTAAAATGTTGCCATCTATAGGTAAATGGTTTGACTTTGAAGTAATAGACTCACTTGGCACATAAGTCTAAGGGTCCTCTGCCAATGTTATTTATCTATATTGGCAGTATGAGAGTTGCATATACCTCAATGTTTCTTTAGGCATATTTCTGGCACCCAGTCCAATAAAATACTGAAGAATATAGAATTTCTCATTCCGATTTCTCTGCTATGTTGGAAATGAGATCATTTGTGGAATAAGGTTTTAATATGGAGAACTGAGGCTGAGATGCTAAACAGATTGGTTGACATGTGAACAGAGGTGGATTTTTGGATTTTGAATATGTGCAGGACTCCTCTATACTTTCTCAGAAATATTTTGTTTCTGCTCAACGTGTTTGGTGTATAAAATGGCCCAGGAAATGGGGAGAAAGAATGAGATTATCTTTGTGGTAGATGATGGTGGCGTGTCTTCTCAGGCCATGGACCGTTCTTCCCTCCCGCTCTGAGCCTTCCCTCCTCCCTCCATTCTGAGGCGCCTGCTCCTCAGCCATGGAGAGTGGGACAGAGTGGCCAAAACTGAGCCCACTATATATTTTCTTTTGGAAATAAGTCTAGAAATTTAAGGACAGACCAATTAAATCTTCCATGCACCTGTAACTCTACCTACAAATTTGGAATTGCAGGAACTTCACCATTTATATGTTAAGAGAGAAAAATGAAGACAAGTGAGCTTTTAAAAAAATTATTTCTTTGGTCTCTGATAACTTTCCTTACAATTACTCTTTTCTCACATAGATTAAGCTGATTTTTTTACAACCTAAATTTAACTAATACAAAATTTTATTTCTTGCAAATGAACTTTCTTTTTTAATTTTATTTGTGTGCTTGGAGTCATAATGTGTATAAGCACTGGAGTAAAATAAATCAGCTTTACGTGTTGGTTTGATCACTTACTAGTTAAGTACAATAATTTAGACACATTCATAGTAAAATTTTGTTGTTTATATGAAATTCAAATTTAACTAGGTATTCTTTATTTGGCAACCCTATTTGTGCAATAGTTTCTTCCTTTGTAAAACAGGGCAATGATACCAAGTAAGCAATGATGTTGTTAAAAATGTCAAGGATGTAATAAACATTATGTAAAACAATTTGCGAGAAATATGGTTTTTCTTTTCTCTTCCCTTCTCCTCTGTGGTGTCTATAACACAAGAAGACATCGCTTATGAAGCTCATCATTATAAGATCACCAGTTGGGAATAAATACTTCCTGGGTGTGCTGAACTTTTGTTTCCCATGTTAACAAAGAAACATCTAGATGAAATGACTTAATTAAAGATGAGATTTATCAAGCAGTGGATAGGCTCTTTGTGGAATATGGTAAATTTTTTTTATCTTTTTTATTGTATGTCTTTATTCTTGAATTAGAGAATTTGAAAGGTTATTTATTTCAATATACTTGGCCTCACCCAGATACACCATCCCAAGGTACTTTAATATTTATTCTTGTGCTGGGCAAATACTTAGGTCTTAGTTTAACACAAATTGGTTTCCAGATCAAACCTCATCTCTCCATCTGGTCTTTTTCACCTTCTATAGAGAGAGACAAAGAAAAAGCACGAGAAAAAAAAAGAGAAGGAGCTAATATACTAGTTTACTATTTGCTTGTTTGAGGAGAAAGAATGAAAGAACCTTATTTGGGGGTGGAGGTGGCCATTTATTTCTTGTCTCCTGTGTCCAAGTCTTTCTCATTTTATCTGATTATATTCTTTGACTGGAGGAACCCAGAAGTGCTAGAGAACTTCTTTAACACAGCTCAAACTAACTTGTTTTCTTCTCAAGGGACACAGAGCAATGAACTTTCCTTATGGAGGCATTTCTAATATCACGTCTTTATTTATCATGCCAGATCCAGTGGGATTGGAACAGCATTTTACTTCTTCCCAAACAGTGTGGGCTTGCTGATCAACCTCTAAGCAACGGGCATGAAAATGGCATATACTTCCATTTTTATTTTCTTTGTTCGAAGTCACCATCGCTGGAGATGCCTTATAAGTAGCAAGCTTGAAGCTTGTGGAGAATAATCAGCAGGTGTAGTCTGAATAGACAGTGGGCTCCTTCATGTTTTCCTTTTCATTTTCCTTCACAGTTTTACCTGGATGTGCCTGGGGAGACAGGTTACTACTCTGAGACAAAACAGCTCGCTTAGGATCACTAACAGGGATAGTGTGGGGATCCTAAAAACGTAATGATGTGTTCACTAACTGTGCCAGCCAACCGGGTGAGCTGTAGGAGGACTGTTTTTGCTTGCAGGTGCCTCAAAGGTCCCTGATGTCCATGGCATTGTATTTATCGATTCATAAGAACCTTGATAAGGAGAATTATCTGTTTTGTTAGTTGAAGTGTTGGAAGGGATGGCACAATACACAAGATCTGAAGGCAGCAGATTAAACTCATTGGCTGGCCGGGTGATCACAAACCTGTAAGAAAAGGCAAAAATGAGCCGGAGCCTCTGCGGCTGGGACAGTGTCGCTATGGATGGGCAGTGGCCAAAATAAGACAGTCATGTTGCTGGGCCAAAAGAGGAAATGTTTCTGCTTTGCCTCACTTCCTCGGTTATTTTGTGAATAGTAAATGTCTCTGGCACAGTACAATAGGAGGGGTCCTAGCCCGGACACTGGGAGACCAGCTTTTAGGCCTGCCACTGTCCCTGCCCATCCTCATGCATGGAACCTCCCTTCCCTGGGCCTTGCTTTTCTCATTATTTTAATGGGAGAGGGATAGGGCTGTGGTTTGGACTGATAGGTCTCTAAAGACCTTTCTGACTCCAGGCTTTATTGCTTTTAATATCCACCACACTGATGAATTCAGTTGGCACAATGCTCCGGTCACTTATCTGAGCTTTATCGAAAGTGGTGGATAACATAGACTCCAGATATTTCCATCCTGGCTTAGGCCTACCCCAATGCTTATGGCACCAGCTTTCACAGAGAATATAGTTTGGCCAATGAGGAAAAGAAACAAAAATTAAAGTTTTATTTGAAACCTTGACTGGTAAGTAAATGGTGAATGTTGATGAATCTTAAAGAACACCCAGAGCCTGGACCTGCATGGAAAAAGTGTAGGGAGGCAGGGTGCCTTACACAGTATCAGGCACACAGCAAACCCTTAATAAATGTGAGTTACATTAATTAATACACCAGTGTTCATGTCCAAATCCTGAGACAGGATAACCTTCCATGTTTTTTATCCTGCATTTCTTCACTGCTGCCCCAAATGATCGATCGCCCCTCTTTTCCTAAACACCAACCTCAATGCAAATTGGCCTCCTTTTACTGAATAATCTTCCCACTTTTATCTTTCTCACTGCATCCCCTGTAACCTCTATAATAGTCCTATACAAGGGCTACTATAATCACATACTCCCTTTAAAACAGAAAACTCATTTCCTTTCCTGAGGTCCTCTTAAGTTTGGGCTGCACATTCTCCCAAATACCATGTTCTACACGTTTTCCAGAGGTGTCGGGGGAAGGGCACGGTGTTCAGGTAGAGAGAGACAGAGACAGAGAGACATCAGCATCACTCACTCTTTCCCTTGCTGCTTCCAGAGCATCACACCTCCCTGCCACCTTTGTGCTTAGTGCTCTGCAGCCTTCTCACCCTCCCTTTGATTGAGGGGTGTCACCGTAGTCCCACCGCGGCTCCATGTTTATTTAGGCCTCTGGCAATTGGTACACCTTTTCTTTCAAGCTCTGATGCCCCCATTACCTTACATGCCTGCAGTGTCTATGATGTTCACAATTGCAATGTCCAGACACATTTCTTTGATTTCCACTACCCAGTGATCTTTATCTCCACAGCACACTTTCCTGTCCACATACTGGATACCATAATTTCCTGACACGTCTCACCTCTAAAATCTTATGCTTCAGTATCATCACAATCTGACCACAACCCCATCATTCTTTCTCTCTCGTCGCCTTACTCTGAGTACAACTACTCTTTAACTTCATCAGGATTTCCAATCCTTTGTCCTTTCGCATTATAGTCTAGAATTGCTCCTACAAATCCACAGTGAACCTCATCTCCCGTCCTCTCAGTAGTGGATCAAAACTCTTACCTCTTTCTCAACTCCCTGTAGCACTTCTTCCATCTTTCCTCTCAGCAATGGCTATGTCTGTACTTCACTGAGAAATCCCAGTGTTACATAAAAGTTCCATTAAGCACACCCCTCATCGATAGCTATATTTGCCTTGGCATCTATTCTTTTCCTTCTTTCCTCCTAGGAGCAGAGAGATTATCTTTCTTTCTAAACAAGACTATTCCACTTTGAGTAATTTGACCTCTTTCTCTTTCTTCCAGGACTAGGTTCTACCAATCTATTTCCACTCTATTATTTTTAGTTTCTCCTCTACTAAGTCCTGTCCATTCCTATGTGCAGATCTTAGATCAGACCTACATTACTGCATGTCTATTTTCTCCTCCTGCTCTCTACATACTTTTCCTGGATCTTCCCCACTGCTCTCAGACTGATCTTTAAACTTAAATTTGAATTAACTCCCATAATTTATAAGTACAAAGCACTGTGTCTAGAAAAGAGGCACTCAGTAAATATTTACCCAATGAATCCAGCATAAATAAGTAAATCTTTCCAATGTGAACAGTGGCATTTAGCTTTAAAAGTTACAAAGACAAGGATGGGCTAAGTTTAAAAAAAAAAAAGAAAAGAAAGAAAGAAAAACCCAGATTCAAAATGTGGTCTGCATTTCAGTTTTCATCGGAGACAGAGACACCATTGTTACATGGCTTCCATTGGATCGTAATTACCAGGGTTTATTCATGCCATTATATGCATTCTTCCTTATTCCTATGTTATAATCTACTTCCTTGCACCCTCCCTCATAACGGTGGACCCTGAGTTCTGAAACTCTCTTTCACATAGAATAAAGCAGCTTTGGCCTTTATGCTTGGATGGTGGCTAGCACTTTCCACACTAGCATACTCCCCTTTTGTGCTCCAGGTTGTGCTTCTCGTTGTCTATCATGCGGTATAAGCCAAGGCACAGGATTCCAAAATTATCTAACAAGCCACAGAAAAGTTGCGCAAAGGTCTTTTTTGGCTGGGGAGAAAAGAGAAAAACATATACTTATTGGCACTTTAACCAGGAAATAATAAGCACTTACTGGAGTGTCATTTGCTTTTCCTTGTGGTAGAAATTTGGAAGAGCTTAAAACCATTTCCTATTATCTTTATGGTGGTAGTGTCAAGTGGCTTGTATGTGAGGTTTATGCTTAGTTTTGAGCATCTAATCCTTGTGAGTAGATAAAAACAGTCCCAGTGTTTTTTTTTTTTTAAATCACTCTGGTCTTGCAAGAGCCTCTGGTGGATGTGGCAGGTCAGGTCATTATATTGTGTTTAGTGTGACTGCTGTTTTGGTAGCTGTTAAGAAGCAACGATAAACAAGTAGGAACATCCCATTTTCAGGGTATATAAATAATTGGGATGTTGAGTGATCTCCAGAGCCTGATCTTCTTATCCCACCCTACAAAAGACTATAGCCCCAAGTGCTCCTCTTGGCATTGCTCTCAGGTTATAGCTGACAGAGGCACTGCAAGTGAAGGTTCCAAAGCAGCAGCTAAGGGTTCAGTTCTGCGGGTGATGCCTCAGGGTAAAGAATGAGGTGAGAAGGCAACACCTCACTGGAGAAAGGAAGAAATGTGTTGACCAGTCCACTGTCACCTCTGATACCAACATGAAATTGCCTGTGCCTGTTGTCCTGGTATATAATCACTAATGAGTCAACCTTAGTGGAAGGACCCAGGACCACAAAAGTACAACATCTGTTGAGACAGGCTGGATGCAGAGGTCTGAAAGAGGCTGCTTCTTGTGAAGGGGGTTCTGCTGGTGTGCTCTGAACCAACCAAAAATGTTTCCTTTTAAAGGCCTGCCCCTACAATTACACTGGAGAGCTAAATGCAATGTCAAGGCAAACTAAACCAAAAGGAACCACATCAGTAAAAAGATTACTCATTTCCAGGCTGTACTCTAATCCCCAGATGCCTAGATGACTCCACTGGAATCTGCTCGAATGGTTATATTCTTCCTTGCTATAATCATGGGCTAAGGAAACTCAAGCATTTTCCACTGGCTAGCCCAATCAGTTTCTTAGACTCAAACACAGAATCCTTTGGCCTGATTTCAGTTGACCTAATGAGATTCTTTTAGTGGTTCAGGAATAAGGAGAGTGAGAAGACCTGGGTCAGGTTGCTTTAGAGGCACCCCTGTTTTGCCTCTAGTAGACAATGTGGTTTCAGGTAAGTACTTGTTTCTCTGGACCTCAGCTTCTTGATTTGCTCAGTGAGGTTAATAATGATGCCTACCATGTAAATCCTCAGACAGATTAAGTAAAAAAAAAAAAAGTAGACAGGCACAGGGGAAATACTCAGTAAATATTAGCTGTTACAATGATTAATACCCTTGTCAAAGTACAAGTTATTGGACCTCTCTGATGCTTCCTGCATACTTGGATTTTTTATCTGGAAGACAAGGATAACAACAATTGCCTTTATGTACCTTCCAACATTATTGAAACAAATATAACACATGTGAAAATACACTTACAAATTGTAAAATATGAATATGAGTTGTAGTAATTTGTTATTATTATTATTGTTATTACTTGTATGCTATAGACCATCTAGGAACACCAATAGCCTGGGCCATTTTCAGAAACTCAGAAATGTGAGGAAGTAGGAGACTCTATTAAGACGAGACTCACTTCAATGTCCAACAGCATGGTTTGGTTTAAGGACAGAAGCCCCAGCTTACAGCGCCTTCTTCCGAAAAAAAGTGTGCTGCAGCTGTCAGTCAGCCCACAGAACTTATCCTTATCCAAATGCTGTTCCATCTGAGAACTTATCCCTCCTCTCACCAGCATCTGAAGCAACTCCAGGACATGATAATTGTAGAAGGCCTGGAAAGCAAGGGTGGGCCATGTGTTAAGTCATAAGAGCCAACTCCTAAATGGTGGATTTTTTATCGTCTTGGAGATTTTGAGGGCATCGCTGAAATGGATCAGATGGTGCAAAGCACTGTGTCTCATTATTATTATTAAAATCACTTAAAAGCTGGCAGTTCAGATAGGGCAAAGTGCAGAGAAAATAACACTGACCCAGTTCTTGCTCCCTTGGGGGTTACAATATAATGATGAAGAAAATGGGTAATTATACTGACACCAAGTATGTCCCCTCCTCCAAAAAATGACCAGAAGAGTATGGCAGGTTACAGATGTCCTAATAATCATCAACATACATTTAAACATATGTATTCAATGAGGCTGCAATAGATTTTACCTTAGGCAATTACTGATATTGTCATCTGTATTTGAACCCTCTGGATGTGAATCTACTTATATTCTTTTTGATTGTGACCAACTTGAGGACAGACATTGACTTAGGCCTTATTAACATTTAGATCTCCTATAGCTCTTATCATAAACTTCAAAGATGTAACTATTGAATAAATAAATGAAATTTTAAAATCTTTGGCATCAAAATGAAACCAAAGGAGGACATATGGGCAAACTTCTTATTTCGAAACTACAGTGCATCTGACTAACCCTAACCATTTTCTGAAACTTCTTTTTCAAAGGATTCTTACCTAATTCAGTGTAGACTAGGCATTGCTGTACATGTACGTAGCCGTGTAAATATATTACCCACTAGGTTTTCTCAAATCTATGGAATATATAATGTTTTAAATTTTCTACTCTTTGTTTTATCTGTTAGATTTTAACTCCAATAGAAAAATTTATTTGTTTATATATTACCTATACAAAAATCAATGATTTTGTTTTTATTATAAATAAAAGGAATGACTTCAACTGTTATTATTCTAGAAATGTTGCCATTCACCTTCTCTACTCCCAAATTCAGGGACTTATCTCCTAACGCCTGTGTTACAATATGGACTCTTTACTGGCTTTCCTTGCTTTTCTTCTCATTTGAAATCTACTGTGCAAAGCGCTTCCAGAGAGACTTTCTAGAAACAAGGAAGATCATGCTATCCACCTCCTCAAACCTTCATTGTCTTCAGGCCTCTGCTGTAAAACCAAGCTCACTCCTCTGTAATGGACCCTCCAGTGCACAAGAGTTTATTTGTAGTTGTTTATGCTCTACATTTACTCCTTCTTTCTTCTGCTTTGGAACATCAAGTTCATCTCTTACCAACCTGGCAAACTCTATGATGGCTTCCTTATCAGAATAAAGTTATCCTTTCATTGTGGTTCCATGACCACTGGCTATTATTCTATTTCAGTCTTCTGTATTTTATATTAATGGTTTGTCTTTAATATGCCCAAGTTTGAACCTGGACTGGCATGTCCTAGCTGAATACTTTTGGACAATTCATGTGTTCTTCCCCAGCAAAAGTCTTATCATTGTTAAAGCTGACATAATGGTACCCACCTATGAGCATTGTTTGCAGGACTAAATGAGATATACAGCACACATTACTAAATTCTGTTCTCTTCAACGTTAGTTCTCATGTATCTTGATCACCCAGAGTGATATTCATGAGTGCAGATTTCTGGGATGCCAGCTCTAATGGCTCAGAATTTATGGTCAGAAGTGGGAATCAGAATTTAAAGGACATACCTGGTGGTCTGACACTGGAGTTTCTCAGATCATACTCTGAGCAACACTTCCTTAAATTACATGCTCTTTCCCTGCACAGACTTTGCCTCCCTAACAGTCACACCCCCAAGAGTGCATTGAACAAGACACTGTTCAAAAGCTGTAGGCACATTGACTTCAACTGGAAGTTTATTTTTAACCAATAAATATTGTTAGTAAAATGTAGGGGCTCTTGGGACAAGGTGACCTAGGAAATAATACAATCTGTGTAAATTCATAGTGAAGAAATTTTAAAACTTTCATAATATTATTCAGATTGAAAGATGACTTTAAATGCCCCCTCCAGCCTAACAACCAGGCTAAAGGCATCCGTCCATGAGTGATGGTCTCCTCACATATCTCCCTTGTTCTGTCTGGTTACCACCCAGAGGGCTGCTTATGGACTTGGCTCCGTGAAATCCTGGAGGGAATAGAGGATGTAAATCCAGGCTGAGCCACAATCGGTTTAAGAACAAGAGGCCATAGTGTAGAGTGATCAAACATAGTGATCAAACATAATGCTGTTAAAATTGTTCTCCCCTGATTAAAGAAAAGGAGTAAATTCTAGGGTTATCCTGGTTTTGGAGGCTCTAGGGAGACATGTACCTTACATATTTAACTGAAACAGGCTTAGCTTTTGAATATATCATTTCTTCAGTTTTGACATCAAAAGGATTGCAATTCTATATTGGGGAAAATAATGGGATTTACAAGTCACCCTTATTCTGAGGGCTCATCTTGTATTTTTATCATTTGGGGTTCTACAGTATTGTCTTTACTGGTCTCTTCCTTTTTTCATTCCTCCCCCCACACTCCCTCCCTTTTTTTATTTCTGAAGAAAATAAGAAAGTTGAAAAGTGCTTGAAATATTTTAGGACTTCTAAACTTGAATAGTGTTTCTAATATAAATCTATTGACTAGAATTTGGGTTCCTGGTGTTAGAAAATATTGCAGCCCCAAGTGTTTTAACTTTTAGGCCCAATGAAGCTTGAGTTCTCTCTTGTAACAACCTAGAATATTACTTAATAACATAGGTACTAACATCTTAAGCACTTGATGCTTTTTATTCCGAGAATCTCAGAAGACCTGAAGATCCAACATTCTATGAGAAATACTTCTAATTGAGAATGAGGTTCTTTGGTAGGACAACTGCAACTGACCAGATCAATGATCTTGATAAAATCACTTCTGTGGGCCTCACTATTCTTATAAATAAAGGGAAGTGCTTCCAGCTTCATGTCCAGTTCTTAAGTTCTATGGTTGTGAAGCCATTTGGGAATTCTGCTTATGGGTCTGAGTGCCTCTTTGATTCTCATTTTCATAGCATTGCACTGACAGAGGATTAAAAGTGAATCTGAATTATACCTCAAAATCATGTTTCTCCACTGGGGCAGAAGGGTACAGTAGCATACGGGGGGATACTTGAAGCCATAGTGTCAACTGAATCAAGAGATTTGAAGGGAAACCACATTACTTATGTTGAAAAGAAAAATCACAGGTATTATCAAGGGAAAGTAGGAAATACCTGCTTGAAAATCTAAAGCAAAACTTCAATGACAAGTTCACACCGTGTTATTCAGGCTTTGTTCTACCCTTGGGACTTGAGTGTTCAACCTTCTTTGTGTTTCTTAAGGGAGACTTGGAGGAAAAGGTGGAGAACTGTTAAGTCTTCTGCGTGCGCATTCATGAGAAGGAAGAGGGCCCTTAAATATTAGGTTGGAAATATGGTACCCCAAACTGGAGTCAAGACTGATGACCTCATCTTGTTTCAGAAACTGCTGAAGTGTTAACTGCCCTTTTCCTGAGGGAGTCTGTTCTGAATCCATCTGCCCTTGTGAGTAGTATGGGCATCAGAGAAACAAACACTTTGATTCTAATTATAGCCTCGGACTGTGCAGCACCAAACACATTTCTTGCCGCATCAAGTTTGGGCAGCAGGTTGGAAGAGCCAAACCCAGAAGATGTTCTTTGTGGGGGGAAAATTATGGGTCAGAAGATACAAAATGGGGTGGAGTGGCTGACTCTTATCTCCCATATGGGACTCCCTATTGGAAATTGGACACCTGGCTCAGAATAGAAAGCAGCATTCTGATCCTTTTATTTTATGTCTCTCTGTTGGTCATATGGTCTAACTTCTAAGGAGTGGTTTTCAAAGTCTTCTTAACAGCAGGAATCCTTCCTCAAATCAGATCTTATTTAGGAGCCCCCTACATGACTTGGATGAAAGCAGAGTTATTCTGACTGGAGGGAAGGTGTAGGTGGGTGCAGGGTGGGGTGGGGCTCATCCTGGTCCCATCTTCCTTGCCTGTCTCCTCAGCAACTCCAGAGTGCTCTGGGAGACAGGTGCCTCTAAGCAAAACTTCAGTGTCAATGTATTCGAAAAATAGCCATTATCACAGAAATAGATTCCCGGAGTGGCAGTTGTTTGTGGTCTGACTCTATAGTCATTACAAATTTGGGTCTGAAAACCAACTTGTCATCTGTGAGTGCTGTGACCTTTGGCTCATTATTTACCCCTCTAAGCCTCAGATTCTTCATCTGTAAAATGAGACTTATAACTGTATTCTCCTAATTGGGTTGACCAGAGAATTAAACAAGGTAATGTAGGTAATGCACTTAGCAAAGACCCTGGTTCAAGTGAGTGCTTGAGATATTTATTATTGTCCCTATCACAAATATTGTTCTGATTATTAATATTATCTCAACGATAAAACTTAGCAGAAGAAGGTGACTCGGGGTCTGAGTTGGGAAAGATGCAGGCATGATCTGGAGGCGGAAAACCACGCCCATGGATGGTGTCTGCCATGGGAATGTGCTAGAGGGAGTGACAGACCTCAGGTCCTTAACTGCCATCCTCCCTTATGGGGAGACCCAGACCTCTGCCTTCCTCCCACATTTCTCCACAAGGAGATTGCTCTGATATGTACGGAGAAAAAAATGCAATATTGGAGAATATATTCTGGGGCCACCACAGTGGCCCCATATGTTTCTAGTGCAAGAGGATAAATTTTCTCTCCCTCTCTGAGGTGTCTGAGCAGGTGTAAAGTCAGGAGGCGGGCCCACACCCAGTGGCCCTCAGAAGAGCAAAGACGATGGACTTGGAGGCACGGGCCTGACCTTTGGGCTCATTCCTTCAGTGTGGCAGGATGACAGGAAGTCGCCCCCACCCTCAGAAGGCTGAGCAGTACCAGGCTCAGAGGGAAGGAGAACAAGAGTGGACAGGGATCCCTGAGTCTTTTCAAAGGTCTAGTTCAGCTCATCGTGGCCAGAGACTTGGGACTGGAGCTCTAAATAGCATTAAGTGTATTCATTTTGCGGTGCCGTACATCATTACAGATTCAAGGGCTGAGGCAGGAGGCCACTAGGCAGAGATTTAGAAGTTCAAGGTCCAAGCTGGCCCCATAGCATAAAAGATGTCCGTCCTCATCCCATTACCAATGACTACAAGCCACCCCTACACTGTGCACTTACCAGGAGTCCTTCAAGGCAATGTGGCTTGTGACCTCATGTGACTATCCTGTACATCAGACCACAGCATGGGGCTTTTTCTCCCACAGAATTCATCGTGGGGCCTCAGAGAACAGTTGAGCTTTTACATAACTCACTTCATTTTCTGGCAGAACTACATCGTCCTCTCCCACCAAGGAGCCCATCGATACAATATCTGAAGGCAGCCTGGGTGGCAGGGGCGCTCTGCTGGGAGGTCACGAGGTCACACTCCTGCGGTAAGTGATGACAGGCCCAGGTGCCGGCTCATTACCAAGTCCGCATTTCCTGTGCTTACATTATGTGCTCATTTGTGTCTGTTTCTACTCCTTCAGCCCTTCTATGCCCATCCTGCTCTTCCTACCAGCTCTAAATAGAATCTGTGACTGTGTTCCTACCTGCGTGAACCAGCAGAGTTTAATTAAGGCTCAAGTTTAATTTAAGGCACAAAGCTGCCTGCCATCTAGGAATCTCTGAAAAGAACTGGGACTTAAAGCCATCGAAAATGTACCCTGCAGACAGATCCAGTTCATCAACAGCCACCTTCTGCCTGATAGCCTGTCATTTATTACAGGCAAGGTATCTGACGTATCAATGACAGACCCAGTCACCTTCCCAGAAAAGTAACCTGTCTCAAGTCCCTCCAATGCATCTCTCCCTGGCTCAGTCAAAGCTGAATGCTGCTCAACCCTTTAGGAAACTCAGTCTACTGACTTGTTATACTATCACTGACATAAGCTTCTCTCTCTGAAGTTCGATGGGATTTAGGCTACCCCCCATTCTCCAAGGCTTAGGGAGGTTGAGCCCAGAGAAACTTAATCCCTTCATACCAAGCAGCACTGAATCTATGAAGGGGACACAGGTGCCCCTGCCAGGCTCCCCTAAAAGTGAAAGCTGTACTTTTGAGGCACTCATACAATTAAGAAATGATGTCTCTTCTGCATGGAATTCCAGAAGGCAGCACATTCATCAAACTGTGCCCTGAGCCTTGTGCATATAAGTATCTGTGTATAGATATTCAACCACTTAGCTGCCCTTCCCTTGGAAAATTTCGGGTAGGAGGGAACCTGTGAGACAATGGGTTATAAGAATTTCCTTTGGAGGACTTGGCGCAGCCATTCACAAAAGACTAAGCACAGATTTTGTGAATTTTAGTCAAATTCCTGGAACACTCCAGGAGGGCTCCCACCTCGCTGCCTGTGCCCTAGTCCCTCCTGCCCATGTCTTTCTTCCTCCGGGATGAGCATGGTGTGTGCTCACCCCTCCTCCCGGCATGACACGTGTGCCCCCTTCCCTGGCCGCACTATCGAAGTCTACAACCCCTCCCTCAAACCCTGCGTTTCCTGCTGCACATCGCCTTGGTCCCTGCATCTGTCTGACATTCCTTGCTTGTTCCCTATTCATCGTGCTTGCGCCAACCTCCCCATTAGCATGAGCCCCGCGTGCACAGATACTTTGGTCTGTGTCCCCGGCACCTAGAACAAAGCCCTGCACAGTTAAGTAAGGGCTTAACCTACCTGTTAAGTAAGTATTTGCCCAGTGAATTAATTCTACTGTGGCAATTTTGTAATCAATGTAAGAAGGTGTTGAGAGCTGAAGAACGGCAATGTGGTCACCCCAGGGGAGGACAGCGTGGAGGGGGATCTGACTTAGCTCTGGACAAAACTCATACCACCAAAGGCCAAAGCTTTTTGCCGAAACTCCATGTCCCTTTATGGTGGTGTCTACGCAAGCTTTGGGGGATACTTTCAAGAGGCGAGAAAGCAGTCATCTCCTAAGCTTTGACACAAAAAGGCCTAGAGCACTTGAAGCTGAAAGGGCTGATGCAGACACACTGCAGCTTACCCGCTCATTCCCCTGGTATTGAGGGTACTGGCTCTTAAGTTCTTAATCTTGAAAATGTGAAGAGTTTGCTGTCCTTGCCAGGTAGTTGTAAGAAAAGATGAAATACTGTATGTGAACAAGCTTTTTTGAAAAAGCAGAGAGAATCGTGAGACATTATCATCATCTACCCCTGCCTTAAGCCATCCGCACTCCCCTCTGCTAGGGGCTTGGTCCTGGGGGCTCCTCAACTTAGCTGCACTTACTGTGGCCAGGAGGGAATCCAAGAAGCTGCCAGAAAAGACAGTGCCTATGGAAAAGGAAGTGCTGAGATGCAGGCTTGTTCCTGGGAGGTGCGCTTCCATCCCACCAATCTGTTCAATAAAGTGGATGTTGGAAGGATTTTCTGCAAGGCAAAAGAGGCAAACAGGAAAAGGCAGGCAGGCAAGCTTAAGAATATAGGATCTGCTTTATGAGTGGAGGCAGGCCAACGGGTGGCCACTTGATCAAAGCGTTTGAGGCTTGCTTCGGGGTCAACGTGGGGCCTGCCCCTACTACATTTTTTCCTTTCCAAGTTTCATCTTCATCCCTTAAAGGCATGAATCCCTCTTGGGCACCTTCATCATCAAGGGGATGTCCTTGGGCTCAGCCTCAGTTTCTCCATGCAAGTATCCTCACTGTCACCCTTATATAATTTATCTTTCAAACCAGGACCTTTTGGAAGTACAGGGGGCAGTCTCAATAACTGCGCTGGGACAACAGGCATAAATGGGAACCCATGTCACCCCCGTTATAGTCTTTTTCATAATAACATGCCACAGGTGGCTTGGCATTGCTCCATGATCTGGGTCCAGAATGAGTTAAAGCAGTACCTGTCCAAATTTAATGCGCATATGAGTCAGCTGTTATGACAGGATCTTGTTACAGTAAGATTCTGATTCACTGGGTCTGGGGTGGGGCCTGAGATTTTATCTGTCCCAACAAGCTTCCAAATGCTGCTGGTTCATGGATTACACTTTGAGTAGCAAGGACTCAAATCATCCTAATGAAGGCCAGTGTAGCATGGGCCACCTTACCCATTAGCATATCTATATTGACCCAGGGCGGCAACTCAGACCCCAGTAAGCAGGCTCTGAAGTGGATGGAACTGATCTTTGTTGGGAGTGACAGCCAAGACACTAACTGCCTTTGTTCTGAGACTACTGCTTTAAAAATGTTTGCACAAAGATGATATCTCCCACCAGAGCGAAGGCGAGGCACGCTGACTGCCCATTGTGAAAGATTCTAGTTCCTCCCTTATAAAGCAATCCACAGTGGGTCTAGGTATTGCTGGGCCCTTTTCACGTCACCTGGTGGGAACAAGGGCTTGGGCAACCAGCACATAAATGATGAAACTCTGGCTACTGCTATCTTCGTGAGTAATAAACTATTCTTTGTCTCTGACCCAGAGGTTTTGTGTCTTCTGCCAGCCCCCATGAAACCGTGGCAGGTTAGTTTGCAAGTAGCTTAAAATCTCAGAAATTCACAGCTTTTGTCAGTCTTATACAGGTCAAAACAAATCTCCTAGACCTACATCTCGAAATATAATCCTAACTAAGACTGGATTTTCCCCTAATTCTTAAAATGATTCCTTAATAAAGTTGGGCGAAGTGATATATTGCTAGTATTAGTGAATCATTTTCTCCCAAGAACTATATAACTTTATAAAAGAGGAGCAAGGCCTGACTAATGCCAGCCCACGTTTCCTTTGCACACACGATCTCCTCCTCTTGCCTGGCTGTGTCATCCCACCCCGGGCCCCGGCTCTCCTAGGTGCTTTCCACAGGCCACTGTACATCCTGTACTCGAGCGCTGGCAGTCAGACCTGCAACTCCCATGTCACCGTGACCCTTTCCAGTCAGCCAAAGAACAAAAAACAGTGAGCTGGCAGGTGATTTGTCAGGCTAATCTGACAAGGGCCGCCTGGTGCCAGAAAGTCTTCGGTTGCACAGAGCTCTAAGTCCCTCGAGAGTGACCAGATGCTCGTCTGGGCCAGTGAGCACCTGACTGGTTCCCTCCCAGCCACTCCAACTTATATTACAGTCTTCTACTCAGTGTCCTCAGTGTAGCTACACTTCAGGGTTGGAGATGGTTCAAAAGGGTAAAAAAAAAATAAAATTAAACTATAAATAAAAACTGCAGCTGACAGCTTAAAGGTAGTTACAAACAGGCTGGCTGGTACCGGTCAGGATCAAGAGAGCTGAGAACTTCAAAGCTGAATCTGAAGAGCTGCTGCTCCAGGATTCACTGTGAATAGATTATTTCCTGTCTGCTGCACTGTCATGCCCCGATCACGTGGTGGTGGTGTCACCTCTTGGTCCCTCTCTCTGTCCCCCCGCGCCCTTTGTGGAACTAAGAGGTCTGTTCATCTCAGCTCAGACACTCAGTCATGAAATACCCATTAAAGATATTGCTGTACTATACACTGTGGTCAAATTGTATGCCCTGGACCAGTTTTACAGATCATCTTCGGGGCGGTCCAATCTGTGTTAAAGGCACCGTTCCCTTCGGTATCTTCCCCTTTCCTCTTCAATTATCACCAGTATTAAACCCCTCAGTGCGTCACAATCACGGTCCCTTCCCAGGGCACACGGGCACCTTCCCTACCCTGCTTTCTCTCCCAGGGCGCCCCATATCCAGGAAAGTTCCATATCCAGAAACGTTCCATATCCAGGAAGGTTCCATAATGTGCACTTTCCACAAGGTGTTGGCAAGAGGTGACGACCTATTCTGACATTTCTGCACCTCGTATTCCCATTTTAGAAGTCTGCTACTCAGGGCCAGAATTAAGATGGCTGACAACAAGGGAGAAGCCTGGACACAGAACTGATGAACCTTGAGAGCGAGCACCCCCTTCAGGTCTGTGCTTTCCTTGGTGCCTCACTTGCCCCATCCTCATGCTGGCCCTGGTGTCACTCTAGGGGAGGAAGGTGCCTGACCTAAAGTCCCATGGTGGGCAGATAAATTGGTACGGGAAGGTTCCTTTTTGCAGTTTTCAAGCCCATGCCCGGCTCCCCACCACCCCGCCACGGGAGAGTCCCTCAGAACAGGACTGAGCCAGCTGCTGGTCTCCTTCTCCTGGTGACTGGAAAAGTACAGAAGGAAGATATATTCCTGCACCCTGACACCCAGCCACAATGGGCTCTGCCAGATGACGTCACCAATCAAGCACTTAATGCTTTCGGGGTTGCATTCTGTTTCCTCAGGCTTTGGACTGTGGAGTTTGAAAAGAAACCTGGGACGGCAATTATGGATCAAACAGGTTTCTCTCTTGAGTTTTGTCCTTGAAACAGAACTTACTCAGTTCAGTGAGGATGGGAACTCTTCGGTGTTTTGAATTCTCAGCTCCATCAAAGCACTGTTCTATCTCCTCTGTAGACAGAAAACAATAAAGAACAAAAGAGACTGATAAATGCAAATAAAGTGTCTTGCAAACAGAGTAAGAATGTAGAAGCACACCTCGTAACTTGGTGCTTTATCTTTGTAAAGTTTCTCTCATGCCCAAATCTCAAATTCTTTTTCTATATTTAGAGAAACAAATCCAAGGGCATCCTTAGCATCTCATTTTGAGACCTAGTTTGTGTGTGTAAGCATGTATGTGTGTGCATGTTCATGCATGCATGTTTTTTCTAAATGGCACTTCTAATGAATTATTAAAAAAGGTAAAGCCCTCCCAGTACTTGCTTATTGACACCATGAGTAAAATGATTGTTTTCTATGCTGCGGTGGTGGTGGGTAATGGCTCAGGCAGGCAAGGCATCTAACCACATCCATTTGCTTGTAGAACTTTTAGGAAACTATGAAGAAACAGGTGGTGCTGCTTCATGTGTGCGTTTGGTCATGTTGCAGCTGGTTTCTAGCTGACAGTGCTATCTGCCTCTTTGATATCTTCTTTGGGTCAAGACACTACTTACACCTACTTCCTTCTTCAGCAGAACTGGTTGCCTCCCTTCTCTGGTTGGCCTGCTCCAACCCAGAATGCCTTGGGAGTTCCTTAAAGACCGGGGTGGGTTGTCACTTAGCACCTTTGTCCTTTGCGTTCAGATTGCAGACAGATTTCCCTCCCCCATTAGGAGGTGAGGCCCCTCATTTACCTCTGTGAGCCTTGACTCCAAAAGAGAGTCAATGCACAGCACTGACCCAAAACCACTTATCATGCCATGAACTATGCAGTTTCAAAAACAAGCAGGACACCAAAGTTTTGGTCTCCAAGGTAAACTAAAGAAATGTAAAGAAAGAAAAGGGAAGCTGGAGTCCAGTTAAAAAACAAACACACATACACAGTCATCTCATCAGAAACTCATGCTTTAAAATTGCTGGTTACCTGTCGTAACTTTTCTGAGAATGCTGTGTAGCAGGGCAAAAATTCTGTGAAAGTTAAAATTCTGCTTTTAATTAAAATTCCATGCTGCCTTAGAAGAGGGTGAAGTATTTGGAGAGCTCTCTGCTGAGCCAGGTAAGTGGTGGGGAGGGAGAAAGATGTGAAATGAAAGGAGTGAGCAGGCAGGTAAGACAGCCTGAGAGACGGGAAAAGGTGGGCTGTGGGAGGTCTGAAATGCGGCCAGAGGAGAAGAGAAAGTCCAGAGGGAGATTATTGTCGGACGGAATGCTGCGTACTGCAATATTTACCACCTCTGCCATCTCCCCAAGAAATATTCAGTAAAACAGCCACTTTTTGTTAATGCAGAGATGAGGTGAATATATTTCTGATAGCCACTAAAATTCTGAGTCACGCTTCAAGGAGGGTTCAGGGTAAAAACTAAAGATGCACAGGACGAGCCCAACACTTGTGGTTTACAGCCAGAGCTGGCCGTGCCCTTGGGAATTGAGGTGAGAAAATGGACGCCCGAAGGGCTAACTTTGTTCACACAGCTGTTTAAGAGGAAGGTTGGACCTTGAGAGAATTATGCTAAGTGATGGGAGTCAGATGGAAAAGGACAGAAATCATAGGATTCCACTCATATGTAGAACACAAAACAGAAAATTCAAACAACAACAATGAAAAGAGACAAGTGAGCAAACAAAACAAAAACAAACCCCCAGATACAGACAACAGATTGGTGATCACCAGAGGAGTAGGGGGTGGGGGAAGGTAAAATGGGTAAAGGGGGCCGAATGCGTAGTGAGAAATAGCAACGGATTTTTGGGGTTGAGCACGCCACAATGCATACAGACATGGAATTATGTTGTACACCTGAAACACATGTTATAAGCCAGTTACCTCAATGTAAGAAAAAAAAAAGGAAGGTGAACCTCCATAGCTAGAGTTCAGACATCCTAATTCACTGGTGAATCAGAGTCGTGAATACCTTGAACTGTGGGATCTCCATAAGGCAGGAAGTCCTGGGGGAACTAGGGTTCTGCATTGTCCTCAGGACTGTGCAAGATGCTTCATCTGCTGCATGGCCCTTTCTTGCCTTCTTTCCTTTTTTCCTTCTACAAATTTTGAAAGAGTATCTGCTCCACGCGAGGGCTGCGGAAGTCTCTGCCCCCATTACATGCTACATGTTACAAGTACAACACTACAAAATATTTTCAGATAGTGGTGAGTACTGAGGTAGAGCCGGGGAGATGACTTTTGATAGGGTTTGCAGAGAGGCTTCTCTGACTTGGAGTGGGGTCCTGAGAGGTGAGAAAAAGCCATCCCGGCACAGAAATGGGATAAGGGACCTAAGGCAGGAAAGGGGCAGTATAAACAGGATGAAGTGGGAGAAAATTCAAACTCCCTACTGGAACTGACATGATCTGATAAATATTTGTATAAGATCTGGCTGCTGTGAGCAGTAGAAACTGTAGGAGATAAGAATTACACCATGGTCACAACAAATCTGTGAATCAATATAGTTAGGTCACTTTTGAAGAAACCGACTCAGTTTACATACTATGCCCAGGATTAAATGGCTTGTAAATGACGGATGGGCTTTCAAACCCCCGATCAACACCAACTTCAAAGCCCATGCCTATTAAAATATACAAGGTTTGGCTGGCATTTTCAGTGAAATATTTCATTCAGCTTCCCTCAAAGAGGCAATCCTCCTTTGAACCCTACTTTCTGATTTCAGTTCCCTCTAAAAAAAGAGATTGGATTTTCCTGATTTTCAAAGTTAAATGTTCTTATTGGATACAGACATGTCCACACTGGCCAAAGAGGCTGCTTAAGTATCTTCTAACATCAGCTGAAGGACAATTGAATTTCTGCCGTAACTCCATCCATTCTTGTGGAGCAATGGCTCTTCTGAATCTGCTCAGATGATAGCCTGGGTACACTCTACTAACGTCAATATTTTTGTTAGCTAATAGTACACAGTATTATACCTGAAATCTTCCAGCCTGGCAGGCTGCTATTACAAAAGAGTGCTTAATTGTAGATTACAACTGTACATTTACATTTCAGTAGCATATTAAGCTGTCAGATTTAATTACCGTTACATGTTTAGATTATGCTGCAGATTATTTAGTTCAGTCCCTAGGTTTGCCAACCTGTTCTCCTTGTGATGTGACAGGGCAGCAATTAAAGCATCACTGAAAAACCTGAAGTTTTCCGTGGAGGTGTCCGGGGGGCCGGGCTTTCTTAGGACCCTTTGGAGATCCCCCCATGCTGTCCCCACACCCCCACCATCCCTTGGGGAATCATTGTGTGGAATGGCCTGCTGGTGCCAGGTGGGCTTCCTGTGTAAGTTTATCATGGCTGTGAAGATGTAGAAAAGCCCAATGATCCCAGTGAAGGCTCCTCAGATATACCAGGGCAAGATTTCTGATCTCACTACTATTGACATTTTGAGCCCAAAAGCTTTTTTTTTTAATCATTTAGGGTTGTCCTGTGCATAGTAGGATGTTCAGCAACATCTCTGACCTCAACCCACTAGGTGCCCACAGCATCCCCCCAAGTTGTGACAACCAAAACTTTCTCCAGACATTGTCAGATGGCTGCGGGGGACAAAGCTGCCCCTTGTTGAGAAAATCTGTCCTAGAGAAAGGGAAAGGAAACTGCCCATCAGCTAGTCTTACACTGTTGCTCCGCGTGGGAGACATTTTCTACCTCCTAGGCAGAATTTCACAATCCTTTACACTGTCAATTCTTGGAGGTGGGAGTTCCCATTTCCACGTAATATGGTGCAAGAGGATATTACCACGAAATGGGAAGCGTAGAGAAGAGAAGCAAGCAGTCTTCTCTACATATAAACTTCAGGTAGAGTCCTATAATGCTAAAGTAATTGGTGAAGTTTCTGAGTATTCACATGTGCTCAGAAGGTGACTTTACTGATGCTATGGCACCAGATAAGCAGACTGGATGACTTTCGTTAGGCAGCTCAGCAGAGCCCGTCTGGAGTTGCATTCCCCCGCCGCCCAGGTGGGTATGGCATCCATAAAAGAAATGGTGCCAGGCCTACACAATAATTTTTCTCTAAACTTTCCCTTTTATCTTTGGGTGCTTTATAGCCTATTCATGCTTCATAATGATTTGAATACAGGGGAGGGCAAAATTAGGGTTACATGTATTATACAAATGAATAATACAATAATTAGTACAAAATAATACAAGAGTAAACTTTTGTATTCACAACTGGAAACCTACTTTTGCCCACCCATGTATTTGACATCCCTTTATTTTCCCTTCCTTCTTTCCAGTCCTTCCCTCCTCTCTCCTCTACCTCCTTCTACCAATCCAGTCAGTTCTTCTGTTAAGGGCAGACTTCTAGCCTGTAACAGGTACATGAAACATACAGAATCAATATATTTTTCTTGAATGAGTAAGTGAAAGGATGAAAATCACTAAAGGAAACTAGAATTGAAATCATAGGTTTATATCTTTTTAGTTTATATAGTAGGTAAGATTAAAAAATAATTGTAAGAAGAACAAATCACGCAGATAATTCAGTAGGTGGCTTATGATGTTGTCAGTTTACCCAGACTTTTATTGAGTGGGCATGTTCATTTGTATATGGATGACACTGCCTTCAAAGTGAATAATTCTTCTCTGCCAAGTTACAGAAGTTGTAAGCATGATGCACACAGACAGCCACACCTGCGTATACTCACACACACCACACCCTCACCCTCCACTCTCCTCCCCACACCATACTCACATCCACATGACCCACGCATCTTGGGTAAATCTAAGTGACCCTAATTGCTGACTTAAGGAGTTAATGTGCAGAACACAACAACATTTTTAAGGATCTTCAGATTTTCTCAGCAGAGATATGGCTCACATTTCCTTAGCCTGGATTTTCAGTGTACCTTGACATACATGAAATGCTTTGCTTTTAGTTCTGCTTTGCAAAACACCCTGAAACCCTGGGTACTGAGTGGTGTATGGTTGCTTAGTGAGGGTATGTCACATAGCTGGCTTAGTTCACTTACTGAAGATTAAACTAGATTACTTGTTTATTCCTTCGTCCCAAGAATGTTATATTTTTCAACGTAGCAACAGTGCTTAGGGGTCAGGGAGAGTTCTTTTGGTTTCCCAGTTTGACTCATGAACATTTTTATCCACATCCATAATCATGAAAGCCTTGAAAAGCCTTCAACATCTGACCTCTCCAAGCTTCATGCAAAGTAGAATAGCTGTAGTCAGCAGCTATGTGGCCAGAGGGCTGAGTACCTGATCTTGACCCAGAGAATCAGCATCCCTAAGGGAAGTGCTGGATCCAGAGAACTCCAATCGTGATTTACTGGAATGGAAAATCTGCTTCAGATACAGAAAATTCTTCAGTAAGAGTGCTTTTATATTAGGTTCAGTGACCAGAAGTCAATTTTTAGAAATACACTAATATATAAGCCTTTTCCTATTTTGGGAGTGGAGAAGAGAAACCACAATTTTGTAGTGGGAATTTATCTCGAGCACATTTTGGGTACCGGAGATGCGTGGAAACTACTCAAGAGTCCAGCTCACTGGCTCATTTGCTTCAGTTCAGTAAATGTGTTAAGCATCTATCGAGTGCCCATAACTGTGCTAGACGCTGAGAGGATACAAAGGAGCAAAAGACCTGACCCGCATCCTGGAGAGATCATTGCTTCTCACCATCTCTTTCCAATCTGAAGGTGAATTATGACATTTTTAGTGTATGGAAGTTGGAAGGGACTTTAGAGGTAATATTGTAAACATCTTGAAGAATAAAAGAGAATTATGCTTCATTCTCTCAGTCATGAAACTAGGAATAATAACTTGAACATCTACAAAGTCCAATGAGAATTTCATCGATAATAATACTTGCCATTAATTATAATATTCTAATTGCTATCTTCACTGATATTTGATTAGAGACATTAGTGCTTGCAATTCTAATGGGAAAAAGTGTTACATTCATTCTGTTTAGAAGATGGAAGTAATTTTGCAGTTTACTTAGGATTCCCAAGGACTAAACTGTCCACTACTCCTCCCCAGGATTCAAGTACTTCAGGGAGAAGCTAATTCTCTTTCTTTAGTCCATTCTCCCTAGCCCCTTCCTGTCAGGCCACTGTTCTTACCTGGCTCCAAGGGCATCTGGGCAGAGCAGCTTCTCCGCAGTGATCCTATGTTGAGGGTGGCCATGATGGTCTCTGTGTCTACCAGAGTCGGGCTACCTGATGACGTGGATGGGGAGGATAAGACAGCACACATGGCACATTCCTCTATGTTGACTGCGTGGAGGTCTCCAGCAAAGAGTGCAGATCCCTAATGAGAGAAAGCCAGGCAGAGACGAGACTTCTCAGATGGGCATATGTCATGGCTCAGGATGGTGGCTCTTCGTGGGTGATAGTGATTTTTGAGCCAAAGCCTCTTCAGCCTCCATTGACTTGGTTTTAAGATTTTGTTACCTGATCCCTGCCACATTTAGTGTTATCATTCATTAATAGCTTAGTGTGGCTATGTTTCACAGACCCTTTCCTGAGAACAAATTGGATAAGACGAAGGAGGGTAGAGAGTGGGAAGCCTAAATCCATTTAAATAACTAAAGTGGGAGAAGAGAAATGAGGGAGGGAGACAGTGGTGAGGGAAAAAGAATCAGAGAAAGAAGTTATGGATCTAAAGGCAATTTTGTAGCCTCACAATTTCACTTGTAGCTAACCCCACTTGTACTCTCCAGATCAACTAGCACAGTGGTGGTTGCTTCTTTCCTTTGGTAGAAAAATAGGGATAGAATCTTGCCCTGCTGTCAGGTATCTTAGATTTGAACATTCGTAATTTCTTTTTTTAAATTAAATTTTATTGACTATGCTAAGACAGTTGTCCTGATTTTTCTCCTTTTTGCCCCTCCCCCCAGACCCCACTACTCCCTCAGGCAATCCCCGACAATTGTTCCTGTCCATGGAACATGTGTGTAAGTTCTTTGGCTACTTCATTTCCTACACTGGATTTTACATCCTCATGGCTATTCTGTAACTACCTAATATGTACTTCTTAGTCCCCTCATCTCTTCACCCATTCCCCCACACCTCCCTCCCCTCTGGCAACCATCAAAAGGCTCTCCATATCCATGATTCTGTCTTAGTTTGTTTTTTAGATCCAATTGTTGATAGATTTATATTTTTGTCATTTTATTGTTCATAGTTTTGATCTTCTTTTTCTTAAATAAGCCCCTTTAACATTTCATATAAAAATGGTTTGGTGATGATGAACTCCTTTAGTTTTTTCTTGTCTGGGAAGTTCTTTAACTGCGCTTTGATTCTAAATGATAGCTTTGCTAGGTAGAGCAACCTTGGCTATTGTTTTCTGCTTTTCATGACTTTGAATATGTTTGCCAGTCCCTTCTTGCCTGCAAAGTTTCTTTTGAGAAATCAGCTGATAATCTTATGGGAACTCCCCTGTACGTAACTTAACTTCTCTCTTGTTGCTTTTAAGATTCTCTCTTTAACTTAAACCTTTTGCACTTTAATTATGATGTATCTTGGATGGGCTTCTTTGCATCCATCTTGTTTGGGACTCTTTGTGCTTCCTGGACTTGCATGTCTATTTCCTTCACCAAATTAGGGAAGTTTTCTTTCACTATTTTTTCAAATAGACTTCCACTTTTTTGCTCTTTCTCTTCTCCTTCTGGTGCTCCTGTGATGTGAATGTTGGACCTCTTGAAGATTTCCCAGGGGCTGCTTATACTATCCTCATTTTTCTGGATTCTTTTTTCTTCTTCTTGTCCTGATTGGTTGTTTATTGCTCCCTTATGTTTCAAGTCATTGATTTGATTCTTGGCTTTATCTACTCTACTGTTGTTTCCCTATAAATGGTTTTTCATTTCAGTTAGTGTATCCTTTGTTTCTGACTGGATTGTTTTTATTCTGTTGAGGTCCCCACTAAGTTCCTTGAGCATCCTTATAGCCAGTGTTTTAAACTCTGCATCTGATAAATTGCTTATCTCCATTTTGTTTAGTTCTTTTTTTCTGGAGTTTTGATCTGTTCTTTCATTTGGGCCATATTCTTTTGTCTCCTCATTTTGGCAGCCTCCCTGTGTTTGTTTCTATGTATTAGGTAGAGCTGCTTTGAGTCCATGTCTTTGTCATGTGGGCTAATGTGTCCTTGATTGCTGTCGTCAGGTCAATGGGAGGAATTTACCCAGGCTAGTCAGTTGCAAGGACTGGCTGTGACCAATGACCACCAACTGCCACTGTCTGTGGAGGATCATCTGTGCAGGGGCAGGGTGATGGTGCTCCAATGTGGTCTGTAGTTATCCAATGGGTGTGCTGGCCCTGGGGTTTCCAGAGTGGTGCAGGCCAAGGTCAGCCCCCACCTGTGTTTTGTTTGGGGCCACCCTACCTGAGCTATAAAGCAATCTGAGATGGCTGCTACTTGTGCTGGGTTTGGAGATTCCCAGGTAAAGCTAGGCTGTGAATCTAGGCTGACTATTGCTAGTGCAAGGCCTCGGGTTCATTGAAGCCAGCTGTTGCTTGTTTGAGAGGATTTAGGAAGTTGTGCGGCATGAGCCAAGACCAACAATTCATATGGAAAAGCAGCTTGTGTGGGCTCATAAGTTGCATGGGGCGGGTGTTAGCCAGGTTTATGGAATCTCATAAGGTACCAACTTGCTGGCTCTGTGGCTCTGTGGCTCTGTGGGAGGCAAGTTTAGAAAGGGACAATGGCCTCTGCTTGCCTTGATGCCATATACTTCAGTTTCTCCCTGTATACCACTGGTGCCTTTCAAGCTGCTACCCCAGTGCTGGAGCTCAGAGGGAGTAAGTCTGAGTAGGTGAGCCTGTGTGTGGGTTCTTTAAGTGAACTTCTTGGGGCTCCAGAGTTTCTTCCATGACCAAATCCCCACTGGTTTTTGTAGCCAGAAGTTGTGGGGGCTTATCTTTCTGGTATTGGAACCCTGGGCTGGGGGGGCTTGGTGTGGGGCTGGGAATCCATGCTCCTGCAATATCCCTCCTGAATTTTCATCCACCACACTCAGGTGTGGGACCAGCTCATTCCGCATCTGCACCCCTCCTACCAGTCTGGATGGATGTGGTTTCTTTAATTCCGTAGTTGTCAGACTTCCTTTCAACTTGACTCCTGATGGTTCTGAGCAATGGTTGTTCTATATTTTAGTTGTAATTTTGTTTTGGTTGTGTGAAGAAGTGAGTCATGTCTGCCTACACTGCCATGTTGACTGGAAGTTAGATGATTTCTAACATTAGCTGGATCAGAAGAATTCTGGTCATTTTCTTTTTCTTCCTTTCTTTGAACTAAACTAAGAGGGTGGTGAGGAGAAACTTATGGTGGCTTTTTAAAAAAGCAAATGAAATTCTTGAGAGAATAATGTTTGAAGTTTGAAAATATTCCTTACATATTGCCAGCATTCTTTCATGAAAAATCAAAGGCTTTGGTGCATTTCACACTACACGTAATGTTTTTTTTTTTTTTAATCCAGAGAAATGGTGGCATATAATCAGATCCAGACCTATGAGGGTTCAGAGTAAATACAATTACAACCCTAGTGCCACATATGCATAATGGACCCATTTTTCAGAAATGAAAACTTAATTCCTCCTTTTCATATATCTATCAAGGGCCATGTGGCATTACATGTTGCATAAAAGGTGTATCTCCAGAAAAGGTGAGATAATTAGAGTATAAAGGTTGGCTAGTATCAGCTTACATTTAGCCATTAAGTCAGAATTAGATTCAGAAATGCAGAGAAACTCTCATTTATATAAAGACCATAAAACATGGTTATAAACATTAAACATGATGGCTTCTAAGCATACTCTCTAGATTTAAATCCTAGTCCTGTTATTTACCTGCCATGTAAACCTGGACAGGTTACTTACTTGCTCCATGCCTAAAGTTCAACACCTTTGAAATCTACCTCACAGGGGTATTTTGAGGTTTAAATGAATTAATATGTTTAAAAATTCGTAGAACAGTTTGTGGTACCACTATATAGCTGCAAGTTGTTAGTAGTAGTAGGAATGTTAGTATGGTTTGTGCTAGTATCATTATGAATATTCACCATCCCTTATGTGATACTTACAGGCAGAATGTATATCTGGGGGAAATTCCGGAGAAATTGCCATTCTCTCTGCAGGTAATCCAGAGACCCGATAAAGACAATGTCCTTCAGCTCCTGCCGGGTGTAGTTGCTAGCTCTCAAGGGCATTACAAAATTCCGAAGCCCCATCAAGGTTGAGTGGGCATCTCCAAAGACACATGCTACAACGTGGTTCCGAAACTCATGTTTTGACTTGTCAGTTCGTTTCTAAGTATAAGCATGCCAGAATCTGGTCATTTTTAGAAGCAAGATAAGAGTCCCTCAAAGAGGGCTCCTTCCTCTCACTCCAGCTCTTTAGGCCCACCCACAGGTCTGCTTTCTTAAGGATAGCAGGACTCTGCAAACTGCTCATATAAAGTGGGACTTATTCAGAGTGGGGCAATTATACTTTTGATCTTTTTGTGGAGTTTCTTCTTATTTCACTTTTTAAAAGTTTTCTATTAGCCTGGAGTACATCAATTAAAATTTAAATCAGCATCATTCCTCAGTTCAGTGTGAAATCATGGAACCAAATGGGGGAAATATCTCATTTTCATTATGTGTTTAGCCTTGTATGTGCTATAGTGAGATTCAATGACGAACAAAAACATTCCAAATTCCATTGCTAAATTTATGTCTTCTAGGAGCCCCCCAGATTGCATCAAGTTGCACAACATGTTACAGTTTTCAGTGGATTTTCATACATATGAAAATACATATTAGTTTGAACCCTATAAAATTACATTTTTATGGGTCAAAATGGTTGAATATTGGTAATTTCACATGGTTCAAACTAATATTTATATTTAATAACTATTTTTCTTAGTTCAGAATAAGGCATAATTGCTAATATGGTGAGTTTCAGCTACCCTAGTAGTCTTCCAGTTGGTAAGACATCTCTGACAATTTTGTGCTTCTGATCAAATGATTGATCACGCTTTTACAAAAATTGAGCTGATTCAATAGACTTTCTCTAGAGTTGAAAAAAATCATCCATCATGGAAAGTGCACAAAAGAAATTAAAAATTCCATTTGATCCCAAATATTTGAATATGTCTCATACTATTATCAACATTGTCAACTCCCTTATAGCTCTAATTTGAAACAAAGTAATATACATGATAAAGATTTAGATTAGGTTTTCTCCACATTCATAGAGACTTTTTAAAATGATAAGTGTAACTTTTTTAAAAAAAAGTAATAGTATTCCTGAAGGAAATTTATTGCAAGTCTTTGTATGATTTCTTTGTATGATAAATCAGTTTCCTCTCCTGGAGCCGAGATGGAACTGAGCAAGCCCTGAACCTGGCTTTGTATTCTGGTTTTGCTACTAGCTGTATGAGTATGAACAAAGTAGTTAATTTCTCTGACTTCAAGTTTAAGTGGTTTAAAAAATAAACAGAAGTTAATTCTGTTGTGGAAACTAAATAATCTATTTAGTACAGTGTTCAACTCAACTATTAATCAAATCTGAATCTTATAGAATTTCTAGATTTTCAAAGGAGAACTCTTGGAAGATGGTAGACAACAAGTTAAATATATTTAAAAGCATGCCATGTATTTGCGTGTTTTATGTTCCTGAGCACATGAAGACTCAGAATGTTTCAAATAGGGACACCATTCTCCCTCACGCCAGTCCTTAGCTGGGTTAAACAACAAGCTTCTGTGAAAAGGGGCTGATGAAATCTAACAGGATAAATAGTAACATCTGACATCTCAACAATTCGAGTCTGTCGAATTAACATACACTGGGAAATACTTTCCAAAGGGAATGGCCCTGTGAGGGGAAATAAAGCTACTTGCCTGGAGAGCCTTCCGAGAGAGTGATATGAATCTTAACGAAATCTATTAAATAATAATCTCTAGCTTACCCAATTATTTTTAACTTGAATGATGAAACCTCTAACAGTATTTAATGCAATCTGCCTAAAGTCCAACAGTTGCTCTTCTGAGTAAAACTAAACAATTAGGAAGAAGATACATGGCAGAGTGCATTAGTGAACACAGCTAGAAAGGCAATTTTTCCAAGAAACTGTGGCACAAAACTATCTCCCAATTGAGAAAGATGGTGGCTTTGTGGGGAAGGGAAGGTTGCACTATTTGTTCAAAGCAACTTGAAGCCACCACTTCCACTTGACCCTTCTGTAAACTAAACCTATTTCAAATGCAATTCAGACATTTCTCCTCTAGGGTCACAAGTTCCAAAACCCTTACAACTTCTGAAACTAGAAGCCTTTCTACACTTATCAAAAGACTCAGCTGGTGTTCTGACCTGTATTGCACATCAAATGTCATAAAGAAGATCTGTCATAGAAACCTGTCTGCGTACTTAATAAATATTGTCTAATAAAACATCCTCTATTTCCATGGTCTCTTGGATACCTCCATCTACAACCAGCTTCCCAACATTTCTAAAGATTTCCCTCCCACTAAAAACATGTTTGACTGCCTGCTCATAGATGTTTATTTTGCTGAATTTAGAATAAGAATGGCTAAACTGGTGAGTTTTAGCAACCCTAATAGCCTAGTTGATATGACAGCTCTGACAATTTTGTGCTTCTTGTCAAATGATTGACCACGCTTTTACAAAAATTGAAATATATTCTGTCAGGACACTGGCACAAGGGTTTTGTGTGTGTGTGTGTATAACAGAAAAAAGTGAACTAAGCTACTTTTGGAAAGCAAGAAAAATACATAATTGTTAATTAGTCATAGATGAAAAATTACATAGAGTTCATATAACATGCAAGCAATAATTTTTATTAGTTAAATTGACTAACTACTGCTTGCAAGGCAAACCACTGAGATCATACTTGAGTTTCTCACTCTGGGAAATGAGACGAGATGGGGATGCAGAAAGCAGGCCTTAGAGCCAGGATTAGGGTGCAAGGCTTTTAACATCTTAGTTGCTGGCATTTCACTGAGCCGAGTTTGTTACCTTGAGAGTACAGAAACAGGGACAGGGTCCTCACATCTATAAGGACCCACCCAGGCTGTAGCGGGCAAGCATCTAGGAGATACATTCTTGACTAATGTGTTAAGTATAAATATAGCCAGCTTTAGGAAAAGCTGCAATAGAAAATTCAAACTTTAAAACCAATAGATTAAGAAAATGTTTGTTATCGATACTTTAACAAAAAAGAAAGACGGCAGAGTTCTAGTAAATAGTATGTTTCCCTGGTGTGTTTAAAGTAATTAGATCTACTAGCAAAACAGTAAAGTTTCAGGAGAACATTACTCTGAATAACTGACTCAGCTAAACTATTAAAGGGGGGAAGAAGTAGTTGAAACATCTGATCTAATTGTTTTAAATCCCAGCATTTTATCCACATAGTCTTTGTCAAATGCCACATCTCCTACCTTGCAAACCATTCATCTGGCTGGTGATATGTGTGTTTTTCCTTCAAAATTCATAGTTTACAAAGAGAAATGGAAGGTACTTATGACTAAGAGAAGCTTAATTTTATCTGAGATTTGGTGCAAGATCACCTACCAGTATCACCTTTTCCAAATGGGTTGCTTTGCACCAGTGAAACATGCCACTGCTATCGAGATATTCAGGGTCTCCACAGAGAGATGTCCTAAATGAGAAGAATGGGAAGAGTTAGCCTGAGAACATTTGAGGCTCTGGTGTAACAAAGCCAAGATGTGAAATTCATCAGAGCCTTCAGCTCAAAGTGAAGAATAAATCAAGGCGAATGCCCTCAGGTCCCTGAGACTCCAGATCAAAGATTTGTGTCTGAAGAACACCAGGAGCTGAATGTCCAGACTATATCATAGCTGAAGATATACTAAATTTGGGCAAAAGCCACACAAAGGTTGTGTGTATGTGTGGGTGTGCACAGGCATGTGCATGTGTTTAACAAACACACCAGTTCTTTCACCTTTGATTATATATACTTTGAAGGTAGTTATTTCTCCTCCTAATTTTGCTACTATCATGATGATATTATTGCTTGGGGGAAATCATGAGATGTGCTTTGTGTGCCTGAATATGAGATTTTAAAGGCTGTGAGATCAAGTCATGGGTAGCGTCTCTCCTTAACCTGTTTTCCTCTCCTCTCCTTTTGGTGTCTTTCCTAGGGCTCTCTGTTGAAACATCCTCACTGATTAAATGAATTTTGCATTATTTAAAGCTTCCATAACTGACCTGCACTCGACTAGACTTTGCTTTAATCTTGACCTAGATCTTGGCAAGCCCTCCATGTGATCACACCACACTGCAGTTAGGCACAGTGTTTATCATATAATATATTTAGTCACAAAAAAGGGTTCAGACAATCTTTTGAAAAACCTCACATATATCCTAAGGAATGCAAATGTGCTTGTTAGGGAATAAAGGGAGCTCTTTTAAAATCACAGAAAGTTTAGGGTTCAAAAGGACCTATTGTCCTCTTCTGTCATTAAGGCAAGGGAAGAGGAAGCAACTGGAGAATCAAGCCTGGGCTTTAAGTCCCTTGGCCCAAAATGGCACATGTCATTGCCAGTCAGAATAGTCACATGGCTCCTGCTAACTCTAAGGGGGATGAGGGACATGGAAGCAGCTGAAATATTTGGTGAGCCCTTCTGTCTCAGCCAGAGACTTTAAAGGATAACACTTATTTTATGGATAAAAGTCAGAGAGCTAACAAATTTTAAAGCTGGCAATGAATATAATGCTGAGGCCAACATTACTGGGGCTCACAATATCCAATTCTTTCCTTCCTTAACACATAGGCAGTTGGGTGGAGCTATATGACTTGATTGGCCAATGAAACATGAGGAGTGATGACCAACACTGTGAAAACTGCCCTGCTATAGAAATGACCAGCCTGAGGACAAGAGTGACTCTGTGGAGAAGAGCGCTCTGGCCTCCTTGACCTTGACCAGTGTTGGACATGGACCACAAACAAAAAATACACAGTTGTTGTGCTAAGCCCCTGAGACTTCATGATTGGTACTGCAGCACAAGTCTGTCCTATCTTAACACAAATATCTTCTCTAAAAAACACATTCCATGGAACACTGGTACTTGGAGAAGCTCTAAGGAACTGTTTTCTGTAGTTCAATAAATTTTTAGAAAAGTATCACCTCTTTGAGACCCTACACTTTAGCATATGCAGGTTCTGAAAAGCCGTACAAAAACAAAATAGTATGAAGTTTGTATAATTCAGGGTCTCACTAATTTATTTCACCACAAAAACTTTCACATTAACTTATGCACTTACTTATTGTATTTACTTATTTATTTAGGTACTTATTTACTTATTTTAAAATATATTACTATCTCTTGACACTCCTTTTGGGACACACTATACTGTCTCACACTGTAGACTCCGGTCTAGTAATCAATAGCTTATGACAGCATTCTCCTGTGAGATTTCACTATACATCCTGGAAACGATACAACTATTGCTTTTTGTGCTGAAGGGTTAGGGGTTTTTCCTGTGAATTAATATAGCTTGTTATTCAACACCTGGCCCAAAGTCTCAGACTCCAGTGTCATGAAAAGTAGGTTTCTTCTCTTTTAACCAGGTTAGTTTTTCAACTTGCTATCTTAAGTCATATTTTTTCAGACAGAAGAACTTACTTAAACTGAGATTGAAATGTCAGACCTACAGTAATGAGATAAAGAGAAGACCCAGACAGAGAACCTGGGGCGGGAAGACAGGGTACTGGCAAGGGTTTAGAACAGAAGAGAGACTAATTGCTAATGAGATCAGGCGAGGCCTATGTGCAATCCTTATTTTCCTCTCCTTTTAAGACCTGCTTATAGATGACATGGATCCTAATCATTTACTTAGCCAAAAGTTGGTGTAATGTAAGCCTCAAGGTCAGTTTGACCAAATGGGTTACCTTGTTCATTTAAATTAACATGCCTTTTGGTGGTTTAAATATCCCTGAGCCATGAGCCCCAACCCAGAATCCTAAGGTGGGTTTCTTAATGATACTGAGCAGGATCATGGTGACGGCTTTATGCCAAGCTTGTTAAAGGTGACACACCTAGGGGCCAAGTCTGATTTTGATTCCTATCAGAATTTGAAGAACTGACTGTGTTATTCATTCATAGAACCTTCTTTTCTCTCCATGTGTGGTTTCCTAGACACCTTCATATGTTGCTATAATTTCCCAAGTTGCCTTCTGGGAAGTGGTTTTCCGCACACCGTCCTCAGCACTCAAGTCTACAGCGACTGCCATTGCTTTTCTTCTGGTCACTTTCTTCAGATTTTCCCCACTTATCCTCCTCCCCCCACCCCCCACCCCACCCGTAATGAATGAAGAGTCTTTAATCTGAAAATTAAATGCCCTTTTGGCAAATGGAAGATAATCTTCTCCCAAGCACATTTTAACTTGACTCAGAATAGCAAATCATTCACTATACACTTCTTTTCTATCATAATAAAAGTATGATCTATGTACACAAGCTGTCACAGACAGCTTTCTTCATTCTTCACTCATTTCTTTTTTCATTCTGATGTTATGGAAAACAGATATGCCTTAGAGGAAACACCTGTTGGAGACCTTTGTAAAAGAAAAGGCTGGAGGAGACCCACTTCATCATAAAGGCATCCATCTGGTGTCCTTGCCAAAGCAAAACCTGATGCAATTTAGTTCACCATCCCTTAACTAAAGCTCCCTTCTGCCATATGTCTTACAAATGACATGATCCTTGCAGAAATATACCTTCCTAAAGAGACTAATAAATCATCTCTGAGAATGTGCAGCATTAGCAGTCTTAGAACTTGGAAACAGGGATTATAACACAAAGGCTGATACTATCAGAGGAAGAGCTACCCACAAGGTACCATCCGGGTCATTCAGGACAAAAGGAAAAAGCCATATCCTGACCACAGGTAGAAGCATCTTGGAGAGGGTGCCTTCCATGTAAGAAAGGCTGGCAAGAAACATGGTGCGAATTATCCAAGAGGGCCCTTAGCAGGATGTGTTTGGGATGAAGGCTAGTTGGTTTACTGGTCACAAGATAGGCTTCTTAGTGTAGAAGCAATGAGTGGTACTTTCACCTGGGATCATCTAAGGCACTGAACCTTGAAATACCCTCAGGGACACGTCTCCGACATTCACCTCTGAAAGCTGATAGGTCAAGTGTGCTGGGCGAGACAGCTTTCACAGCCAGCACGCCTGTGGAAGTGCAGAGCAGCATGTGCATAAAGCCCCTCACTGTCTTGCTGACGACTGCCTTTCTTCAGGCTGATTTCCTATGCATGAAACCAAGGTCTTGCGAGTGCATACATGAACATGTCCCAGCTGAGGAAGGCAGGCTCTCTCCTCTGTGCTTCGTGGAAATATTCAGAAGAAAACCTTTACTCTGCTGTGTCCATAGCAACTTATCCTGTATGAATTCTGCCACTTAAAGTGAAAAATAAATGAAGGAGAATGTGCCTTTGGTTTCTAACAGTGGCACCTGATGAGAGAAAATAAACCATGCAGAAAAGCCTCTATTAAGAAGGTGAGGTAGGTTTCAGTGCTGGGTCATTATTTCTTCCAATTAACAGATTTGACTTAGATTATTCTTGAAAATGATCTACCAATGGAAGAGATCCTCCACTGTTCGCAATACCTACTAGAAAGATCAAAGGGCACCTATAGTTTTTATTTTTCTTTTGCAGGCCTCATTTTTTGATGTGTTAGCAAATCCTGGCTTGTGACCATTCATTCTATCTGAAACCTCCTTAGAACTCCATAGGCAGCTTATAAATTCTTAGGAGAGCATTCTCTGGCCTGGATGCAGAACTATATATTTTTTGCTCAAGAGTTGTGTTGAAAAAAATAACAAGTTTCATAAAGTCTTAGCATAAGAAGAATGACAAGTCTGAGGGTGGGGGGAAAAGGAGGAATGTGCCCATGTGTCCAGGAGTTTCATACCCTTCAGATTTAATCTTGGGGAAAAAGACATTGTAACATTTCCTGAAGGCAGTGCTCTAGTTCCCACCAAAAATGGAAGAAAAGTCCCTAGTCCTACGAAGCCTTGGGGGCTACTTGGGATTTTGTATCTTGCAGGCTACAACTGCCTTCTCTCCAATGACTCTGAATGTAGTGACAAGTCTATTTAGTCCATACTTAACTGGAAAATACTCATTGTCAGTTCTGACCACCACCTTTTGTGAATTGAGAAAGAAGAAATCATTAGAGAAAGTTTTGTAATTAGTGCTTCCCACCCTATTCTGACCATTTTCCCTCTTTTCCTCCTCTCTAAATCTTATTCACATACACTTACATCCCTACATGCCTCCTCACATGCTATAGTCCAATTTCAGAATATGAGCCTTTATAGGCACATTTCAACTTTATTTTTCTGGGTTTCACCTGGTTGCCATTTACTCATTACAAGGCATTATTTTTTACCTTGGAGGGAAGCTTAAGGTTTAAAAACAAGGATAGTTTTTTTTGTAGCCTATTCCCCTAGGAACCTGTATGTCAGCAAGTGGAAAAGGGCTCCTGGGAGCCCTGAGGAACTTTCAGGACCAACCAACCCTAGAGAATCTCAGGAAGGCAGAGAGCACAACCCGCCTTCCCTGTTGGCAAGGCCTCTGTGGTCCCTTTCTTTCCCATTAGCAAGTGAAGGTGTGTACCGGGCTCTGTG